GTGAAGTGACTTGCCTAGGGTCATACAGCTAATAAATGTCAAGTATCCCAGACCAGAATTGAACTCAGGTCCTTCTGACTCTAGACCTGGTGCTGTATCCACTACACCACCTAGCTGCCCCTAGGAGAAGAATTCCAACCAGTGAGAACACATGGAGTAGGGAAATGAAATCTCTTCTGAAAGCAACAGTGAGGAGGTCAGCATCACTGAATTTCCAAGCACAAGGAAGGAAGGAAGGTAGAATAAGACAGGAAAGATAGGAAGAGGCTGTGTTATGAAAGGTTGCAAAAGCCAAATAGCATTTTATATTTTCTCTCAGAGGTAATACAGAGTCATTGGTATTTGGGGAAAATCGTCCTATCTCTGCTTTAGGAAGATAATTTTGAGAGTTAAATTTAGCATGGACTAGAGTGAAAAGAGCACTGAGGCTGGGAGAACAACCATCAGACTAGCATAATAGTCCAGCTTGAGCTGATAAGGGCCTACCTCCGTGGTTGGGGTACTTTGAGGAGAGAAGGAAGAGTATTCTAGATATGTGATGAAAGCACAATTTACAAGACATAACGACCAATTAAATATGGGGCAGCAATGGGAGTTAGAGTCAGGCATTAAGATTCATGACTAGCTACTGGAAAAGTTGCTTTCTGCGGGAATAGAAGAAAAAACAACACAGGCCATAAATAGAAATGATTCAGATTCTCTCTACATCTGTTGCTGGATCTAGGCACCGTGTATTATGTGCATCATGAGCTCAACCCCTTTCTGGACTCAATGGCACCTCAGGGGAAGTTTCTGTATAGTCTGGCATTCCTTTTCCTCACTGTGTCTGTTGCACAGTAATACACAGCAGTATGCTCAGTATTAACGGAATTCATCTGTAGATATAACATGCTGTTGCCATCATCTCTGGGGATGGTGAATCAACGTTTCACAGGGTCTACATAGCATGTCTTACTTCCCACTCCAAACTGTGCAGCAGTGGTGGAGAGACAGAAAATTGAATGTTTTCCCTTCGAATAATATGGCAGCATGCTGTGCTGCTAGAAAACTAAGGAACAGAGGGAACTTGAATAGGAAGCCAAATGTATAGGACTCCATCAAGTCTAAAGCAAAAGGTCCGGACATCCAGTGGATGCCATTCATTTTCTCCCTTCAGAAGTCACATGGGCAAAGCCTGAGGTCACTGACATGTTAATCCCTCTAGTACAGGAAGAAGCAGAGCTCTGATATCTAGATACAAGGGAAATTACCATCAAAGCAGAAGGATTTAGAAGGTGATAGATAGATAGGTAGATAGAGAGAGAGAGAGAGAGAGAGAGAGAGAGAGAGAGAGAGAGATACATACACAGACAGACAGAGAAAGGTAATGAAAAGAAGATTGAAATTATCAAAGATCTCAATAAGAAGAAAACTCACAAATAAACCCAGTAAGGAATATATTAATAACATAAGAAAAGATAGCCATGAGAACACCTAAACTATGTCAAACAATGAATAAATATTGAAGTACAAAAGAAAATTAATCAATACATGATGCAGCAGAAGGCTCTATGAATTCTCAAGATCTCTTGGGAAGTGACAGCATAGAGTCACAGCAAAATATTTCCTAATGGTGCAAGAAAGAAATGAGGGGTAAATGTTGGATTTATCTCCTGCATAACAGACAAAATTGGCAGCACAAAAAACTTAAATCCAGGTGGTAAATCTCACCAAAAATAAAAAGAAAGAATAAGTGGTTGGGAACATAAGTATCTAAAAAGAGGAAAACGGTCTGGAAGGAGAGAAGCAAAAACCAATTACATGAAATGGAAACATGATCCCTATACAATTAAAATATGTTTCTCCGTAAGTTAGGATGAAAAATATCAACTTAAGGATGTTTTAGATGCTTACTCGGTCATCTACTATGTTAGCTACTTCTGCCAGTTTTGTATCTAAAGTCATTCATGGATATGATAAATATACAGGGTAAAACAAAGACTCTTTGGGCACTTCACTAGAATCTCTGGCCACATTGACACTGAACCCTTGGCAACTGCTCTTTGAATCAGGTCAACCAACCAGCTCTGAATCCATAGTGTTATCATCTAATTCATATCTTTCCAGCTTCCTCACAAAAATAGTATGTGATACTTTGTTAATATACACAAAACCAATATCCACAGCCCTCCCTCTATACTAGTTCATTGATTCTGTCAAAATAGAAATTATATTAGTCTGATATCAGCTACTCTGTATGAAGCCATACAGAAGCTTTGTAATCACTGCTTCCTTTACAGGAAGGACTCAAAAATCCAGTGCTCTTCACACTTCCGTTGAAAGAATTAACACTGCCACCATCACTTCCATTTCTCTCTGTAACTATAGGATTGGGGAGTAGAGGTGAAAACTGGATGTTTTGATGCTGATTTGAAGGATCAGAGGAGATGTGACTTCTCTCTAGACTCTGTAAATTTTAACTTTGGGTCTCAATGTTAGAGACAGAGCAGAGAGAATGGAAAAATATGGGGAATAGACAGTTTCTCTCCATTTTTTTTACAAGCACTTCTCCTCCCTACTGAGACATAATAAATATCTACAATAATAAGTGGTTAACCATATTTGCCAGTGCCAGGATAAAATTAAAAAAATAACAAAGGCAATCATCAAACATTCATTAAGTAACTCTTATACGCCAGAAATTTTTTTAAGTAGAGGAGTTACAGAGACAAAAATGAAATCATTTCTGCCCTCAAGCATCTCATCTCACATTTTAATGATGTAAACAACATCTATATATGCAACTGCGGTTGTGATCACCTGAGTGAGCTCTTTAGTATTTTTAGAGTTAACAGCAGGTGCAAAACTTTTATGCCTATTCAGTCATTTGATTTCAGAGTTGATACTTCATACCAGAGGAAAAATACAAATAATAATAATAATAATAATAATAATAATAATAATTAAAATTTATATAAAACTTACTGTGTACCAGGCACTATGCTAAGTGATTTAGAACTATTTCATTTAATCCTCACAACAACCCTGGAATGTAGGTGCTGTTAGTATCCTTATTATACAGATGAGGAAACTGAGGTAAATGAAAGCTAAATGACTTGTCAAGGATAGTAAGCTAAATGACTGTTAACAGGTAGTAAGTGACTGAGTCCAGATTTGAATTCGGGTCTTCCTAACTCCAAGCTAAGCACTCTATCCACTGTGCACCTAGCTTCCTCAGATTCATGTTGAAACCTTGAGGTTCTGAAGACAGAACTTGAAAATTAAAAATATTTGGAACCAATTATATGCTAGAAAATGTTTAACAAGCATCCTTCTGCCCCCAAAAATTATGCACATAGAAAAGTTTCAAATTTAATGTGCATTACTAATATTTTTTTCATTAGTTTCTTTAGCCCAGAAAAATCAACAGCAAAATAAATAAAAACAGAGGCCATTCGCTCCTAACTTCCTCTTCTCCTCTCTATTCCATTTCATATCACTAGTATGCCATCAACACCTATCTCCTTTACTCCTGTCTCATGTGATGAAGTCACTTTTTTCTCAATCCTCATTCTCTTTGACCTCTTTGTTGCTTTGACATGACCTCTCTTTTCTCCTTGTTACTTTCTTTTTTCTAGGTTTATGGGACACCACACTCTTGGTTCTCATCCGACTTATCTGAGTTCTCTTCTCCTCCCTCCTTTGCTGGATCATCATCCAGATCATGTCCTCTCATCACAGGAATTGCACAGGAGTCAACCCAGTGCTCTCTTCTTTTCTTTGTCCATAATATGTTATTTGGTCATCTCATAAATTCTCACAGATTTAACTATTGTTCAGCTATTCAGTCATGTCTAACTCTTCATGCTCCACGGGCATAGCACACCAGATCCTTCTCTGCTATCTTTCAAAGTCTCTCCGAGTTGTTGCTTATTGTTTACATGACAATATCTATTCCCCTCATTCTGTATCATCCCTTATTGGGTTTGCTCTCAGTCTTTCCCAAGATCAAAATCTTTTCCAATGAATACCATCTACTCATCATGTGGCCAAAGTATTTAAGCATCACCTTTTCTATTTGACCTTATAGGGAAAAGCCTGAACTAATATCTTTAAATATTGACTGATTTGGCCTCTTTCCTATTCAAGGGACTCTCAAAAGTGCATGAGACTCCATGACACATGAAGAAAAATACAACAAATTCAAAAGAGTAAAAAAAAATAGGAGAAAATTTGAAATAGTTAATCAGAAAAGCAACTGACCTGGAAAAGAGATTGAGGGGAGATAATTTAAGAATTATTGGACTACCTAAAATCCATGATTAAAGAAAAAGACAGGAATATTATTTTGATATTATGTGAGGTCTGACTGAAAAGAAGCTTCAGATTCCCTCCAACTAAATCTTCATGATCTTCTGATATGTGTATGAATATACATGGGGTATACATGTATATATACGTATATATACACACACGCATATAGATCTGCATACATACACATGGGGAGGATCATCTACATAACATAGATATGTAACTGTATAAACTCATATTCTTATATATTAAAGGTATGTAAAGGTAGGTATGTTTACCACATGCATGTGTATGAAAATGCAATGGAATACATAGCAAATATTCAATAATTCCTGATGTTTGACAAGTACAGAGAAATTAGTCACTGTGGACAACACATGTAAACTATTAATAGCACTCATCTTCCCTCTTTACATGCAAGCAACATAAATAGGAAAGATTCTCAAGAAAGCAAAGAAAATTAGATAGATAGATAGATAGATAGATAGATAGATAGATAGAGAGAAATGGATAGATGTTCACTGTGAATTTGGAAGAAACCAAAGACCTTAAAACTTTTGCAGTGTAATTCTTCATCTGTTATTGTAACTGGTCTCCTTGTGCTGGGTGTTGTTGAGCTCCCTCTCTAACTCATTTTCCACATGGCCTGTCTGAATGAGGAGGTTTATGTCTAGTCTCATACTTCTCTTTCTCACTGTGTCTCTTGCACATTAATACATGGCTGTGTCCTCAGCTTTAAGGATATTCATTTGCAGGTGCAGCATGTTTTTGCTGTTGTCCCTGGAGATGGTGAATCGGCCTTTCACAGAGTCTGCATAGTATGTGATTCTTCCATCATTCCAAATAACTGCCACCCACTCTGGCACCTTTCCTGCAGACTGGCAGACCCAGTTCATGCGATAGCTGCTAAGGTGAATTCAGAAGCTTTCCAGGAAAGGCTAAGAGACCCTCCAGGGTGTCTCATATCACCCCCAGACTCTACCAGCTGAACGTCACAATGGATATCAGCACATAAAGAGCCACTTAAGAAAACCGTCAACAAATACATCACGTCAAAAAATGTTTCTTTAGTCACAAGACAAAACTGCCTTGTAAAATAGTCAGAATGAAAATTCCAGTCAGTCCCAAACCTATTGTTCAGACTCTACAGTGTCAGTCCTTAATAGAGCAAGGCCACACAGATGAAAAGCTCCTCTCCCAGAACTGCAGACACAGGTTTTTGCCCATTTTCATCCTCAGAGGGAGGAGCCCAATTTGCATGTCTTTCTCTGTTTAGTGTGAGGAAGAGCAACTGCCTCCCAGTGGGAGGAGTCCTCTCTCTGAGCTGCAGAGAAGTTTCTCTCAGGATTGTTTCTAAAACCCTGAGGAAGGTTAGTGACACTGAGAATCCAGTCTATTCTCAATTTCAAGGGAATGGTCATTAGGGTTTTCTATGTGTCTGATATTTTCCCAGCTTATCTCAGTGCCATTTCTAATTAAGAAGGCACCCCAAGTCTTTGTAATTCTGGATATTCAGGGAAGATTGAACCTAACTTCAGAATCTTTTGGGGGTTTTTGTCAGAGGAAGGAAGGAGGAGGATTTCCGAGTTTACTCTTAAAGCACTACTGCTTACTTACAGGGTTAATTTTTGCTCATTCTTTTTGGAACTGGATTTCCTGTAGATTATATACCCCCAATCCATTCATTGTCCCTTATATCCAGTGTGCACTCAGTTGGCATGAGAGAGGTGATTGTTAAGTTTTCAGTGTGAGCTCTAGTATTTCAGAAATTAGCAGACACTGAAAATCAGAGCTTAACCTTTTTTTTAATTCTTTATACTTAACAAAGGCAGAGAGAAAATCTTAATAATGTAGATTAAACTTAAAAGCATATTATGTTTACATTTTTCCCCTAGAGAGCTGGTTGTTTAAAACTTAACAATGCATTCAAGCTCATATCCCTGTTTGAGTTGGAATGAGGCAAAAAATAGGCAGGGCATAATAAAGCACACTGAATTTCTTGGATCCTCCAAAATTCCCCATGTTTTGCTTCTTAGAAGGACTCTTTGCATTTGTTGAGACAGTGACACCATATCCTCTGAGAAATGTGTGCATCTTCTGGAAACAGGTATAAGCTGAGCCTCAGAATGCAGAGACCTTCCTTTCAGAGCAACCAAATCTGCTGCCACCTACTGCACACAATGACATCAGCTGAGACATTTTTCTGTCTTATGTCCACTTTACATTAATCCTTCACCCATTGGGAAAAAGTAGTTCTTATCAGGGACCATTGAAGTATTCTCCAGCATTTGTATTTGGGAATTTTGTATATTGTAAAGCCTTAACTGAGTCACTTTGTCTCTGTGATTTTTCTTCCCCTGGTAGAGGTTTTACATTTGCATTGTCCTGTCAAAGCAGATTATGGCTTACAGTTAAATTTCTGTTCCTACCAGATATATGTTGGCCTCTAAAACCCAATAAAGCTTCACTGACCCTATATTATCTTCAAGTTCTCTGTCTTTCTATATCATTTCCCTTTCAATAACTCCAAGGAAAGATACAATATGGTGTTAATATGGGCAAATTGTCTATATCCCTACAAGGGAGAATGATACAACTCTTCAGAATTCTATGGTTATTACACCATGTGAAAGGAGTATACATAAAGAGGGTAGTTATAAGTTGGCATTGATGTAATAATAAAAAAAAACCTCAAGTGGGCTAAATGGATCCAAGTAAGTCAATTCGTCAGATCTAAGAAAATGTACTGAGAAAGGAAGAGGTAGAGAAGGGTAAATTACAGTACAAGGAAAAGACACAAAAACTTCTTACAGCAGAGGGAAAGAAGGGGGGGTGAGCATTATTTGAACTTACTCTCATCAGATTTATCGCAAGAAAGAAATAACATAATCAGTTAGGTATAGAAATCTAACTTCCCTATAGGCAGTAGGAGGAGAAAGGGGAAAGAAAAGGGGGGGGCAGATGAAAGGTAAGGAAGAAGCAGTAAGGGTAAAGGGGGAAAAAAGGGAAAGGGCTAATAGAAGGGAGGAGGAACTAAAAGACAGTGGTCAAAAGCAAAACACTAGTGTGGGGGGAAGGAGAAAGGAGAGAAAAAAAGCATAAACTGGGGGGAAAACAGGTGGAGAAAAAGACACAGATGGTAATCATCACTGTGAATGTGAATGGAATGAACTCTCCCATAAAACAGAAATGGATAGCAGAATGGATTAAAAACCATAGTCCTACAATATGTTCTTTACAGGAAACGTATTTGAAAAACAGTGACACACACAAGGTAAAGGTAAAAGTTGGAGCAGAATATATTATGCTGCAGCTGAACTAAAAAAAAGGGGTGGCAATCCTGATCTTAGACAAAGGAAAAACAAAAATAGATCTTATCAAAAGAGATAAGGAAGGAAACGACATCCTGCTAAAAGGCACCATAGACAGTGAAGTAACATCATTACTAAACATGTAGGCACCAAATGGCATAGCACGCAAATTTGTAGAGGAGAAGTTCAAGAAGTTACAGGAAGACATAGACAAGAAAACCATACTCTTGGAGGACCTCAAGCTCACCCTCCCCAAACTTGATAAATCTAACCACAAAATGAACAAGAAAGAAGTTAAGGAGGTGAAAAGAACATTAGAAAAGTTAGGCATGATAGACCTCTGGAAAAAACTGAATGGGGAAAAAAGGAATATACTTTTTTTCTCGGTGGCACATTGCACATACACAAAAATTGACCCTGTACTAGGGCACAAAAACCTCACAATCCAATGCGGAAAGGTAGAAATATTAAATGTATCCTTTCCAGATCATGATGCAATAAAAATTATATGTAATAAAGGGGCATGGAAAGACTAAAAAATAATTGGAAACTAAATAATCTAATACTGAAATATGATTGGGTCAAACAACAAATCATAGAAAGAATCAATCATTTCATTCAAGAGAATGACAATAATGAGACAACATACCAAAAATTATGGATTGCAGTGAAAGCAGTTCTTAGGGGAAGTTTTGTATCTCTAAATGCTTACATAAATAAAATAGAAAAAGAGGAGATCAGTGAATAAGGCAAACAACTAAAAGAACTAAAAAAGGACTAATTGAAAATCCTCAGTTAAACACCAAATTAGAAGTATTGAAAACCAAAGGGAAAATCAAGAAAATTGAAATTTTATTGAACTAATAAATAAAACTAAAAGCTTTTTTTTTAAAAATACAATAGATGAACCTTTGGTTAATTTAATTAGAAAAAAGAAAGAAGAAAATTAAATTACTAGCATCAAGAATGAAAACAGTGAAGCTACCACCAAGAAAGAGGAAATTAAAACAATAATTGGGAATTATTTTGCCCAATTGTATGCCAACAAATTAACAATCTTGGTGAAATGGATACATATTTACAAAAATGTAAATTGCCTAGAATAACAAAAGAGGTAGGAAAATACTTAAATAACCCATCTCAGAAAAAAGAAATTGAACAGGCCATTGATGAACTCCCTAGGAAAAAATCTCCAGGGCCACATGGATTTACATGTGAATTCTATCAAACAGACTCTTTGGGAAAATAGGTGTAGAAGGAGTCTTACCAAATTCTTTTTATGATATAAATATGGTGCTGATACCTAAACCAGGAAGAAACAAAATACAGAAAGAAAATTATAGACCAATTTCTCTAATGCATATAGATGTAAAAATTTTAAACAAAATACTAGCAAGTAGATTGCAGCAACTTATCACAAGAATAATACACTATGACCAGGTAGGATTTATACCAGGAATGCAGAACTGGTACAATATTAGGAAAACTATCAGCATAATTGAGAATATCTACAACAAAACCAACAGAAACCGCATGATCATCTCACAAATGCACAAAAAGCTTTTGGCAAAATACAACACCCATTCCTATTAAAAACACTAGAAAGCATAGGCATAAATGGAGTCTTCCTTAAAAGAATAAATAGCATTTATCTAAAACCTTCAGTTAGCATAATATGCAATGTGGACAAACTAGAAGTATTTCCAGTAGTATCAGGGGTGAAACAAGGATGTCCATTATCACCACTGTTATTCAGTATCTATTGGAAATGTTGTCTTTAACAATAAGAGAAGAAAAAAATTGAAGGTATCAGAATAGGCAGAGAAGAAAGAAAGCTATGACTCTTTGCAGATGACATAGTGATATACTTAGAGAATCAAGTAAAAAACTAATTCAGATAATAAACAACTTTAGCAAAGTTGCAGGCTATAAAATAAACCCACATAAATCATTGGCATTTCTATATGTTACCAACAGCTCTAAGGTACCATTTCACACCTATCAGATTGGCTGACATGACAAAACAGGAAAATAATAACTGTTGGAGAAGATATGGGAAAATTGGAACACTAATGCATTGTTGGTGGAGTGGTGAAATGATTCAATCATTTTGTAGAACAATTTGGAACTATGCCCAAAATGATATAAAAATGTGCATACCCTTTGACCCAGCAATAGCACTTCTAGGGCTGTATCCCAAAGAGATCATACAAATGGGAGAAGGACCCACATGTACAAAAATATTCTTTTTGTGGTGGCAAAGAATTGGACATTGAGAGGTTGCCCATAATTAGGAATGGCTGAGAAGTTATGGTATATGAATGTAATGGAATACTTTTGTGCTATAAGAAATGATGAACATGCCTGAATTCAGAAAAACCTGGAAAGACTTGCATGGTCTGATGCTGAGTGAAATGAGCAGAACCAAGAGAACGTTTTGCACAATAACAGCCACATTGTGATGACTAATATTGATAAAATTAATCCTTCCTTAGCTATTTTGCTTTGGTCATAGACAAGGAAGGTAGCAAATAGTTGTCCACATATTATGGTAGTCAATAGTCTGTAGTTTGGTTTAACTGTAACAGGAAAACTGAGTATTCTGTCTTAGATGATCCAACCACTTTTTTTTTTCCATTTCCTGCCTTCAGGCAGACCAGTGGGTCTCACTTTCCTCTGGCCTGGATGGGACACTGGTATATGAAGGGCAAAATTAAATCAAAGGAAGTAAAGATATGCTATACCTCTACTTACACTAACTGTACTCCCCTTAACACCACTAATTAGTTTATTTTTAGCCCAGTGAATTCATGATGGTCTAAATTGCTGTGGTTAATATTTTTCCTATAATTTAAGGAGTTATTGTACTATTTATCAATAAAAGGAGTCTGCTTCATTTCAAACCAGCCCTCTCCTACAAACTGACCCCCATTTCTTCTTCCTCACCATTAGAAAGAGAGATTCTATTATGTTCTCTTTGTCAACTTCCTTTCAGCAAATTAAATAAATTTAGACCAATACTCTTTTGGGTTAACCATAAGTTTATCTTATTATTATGCCATAATCTCAACCAACTGACCTAGTTGTCTGGAGTCAGATGACTTGGTTTCAAATTCTACCTTGACACTTTGACACTGTGATCTACAAAGAATCATTTAAATTTCCTTACCTTCACTTTCCTCTTTGTGAGGGATTAGACTAGGTGCTGCCAGAGGTCTTTTTCAGCTCCAGAACTGAACCAGACATTTAATGCTATTATTACCTCATGGCTTGTAGCAAGCATGTGGGCATCAGAGGACAACATAAATTATAAAGAAACAGAAATAAGCTTTGGAATAGATTGCTCTAGGCAAAGAGGGAAAGGAGAGAGATGGTACAGGAAGTAATTATTCTCAGAAAACAAGGATGACTACAAGATGATCTTCAGGGAAATATTTTTTGCGTGATTACATTTACATGATAATTTCACATGAGTTACAGGATAATGTTATTCTATATTTGGAGGGAATAGCATGTTGTATATGGTAGATTTTCAGTTGCATATGCAATCATCTTTTTTCTTGTGCTGTGTTATGGAAATGTTTGTGTGCTCTGTGAACTGAATGTGAAAAATATTTTTTAAAAACATCCAATTCAGTCAAATCGCAGTGTGGAGTCTCTACAGGGTCAGTCATCAGGATAAAAGAGAAGTCCACAACACTGAATTTCCTCTCCTAGACTACAGGATTTGGGCTGGTTTACATACCAAGGGAAAAAGAAGTTTGCATGTTCCTCCTCCCTTCACTCTTCTTCTTTGTCCTTTCTTGTCCAAGAGGAAATGGCATCAGGAAAGTGATGTCATGATTTGCAAGTGAATTGGATTAAAGTGGTTGGGAACTGTGCAAAGTCACTAGACTCACTTTCTTCTCCAGAGCCATCTGGGTCCAGTGGCAAGAAATAGATCAGGAGTAGTAAAGATATCTCCCACATCCCTTCAATAAAAGGAAGAAAGCTGCCACCTCCTGGGGTATCCTCTCCCTGCTCTGCAAAGAGAAGGATCCTCTAGAACTGGTTCTAAAACCCTGGAGAACATTTTATGACACTAAGAATATGCAACATTGCTGATGCAAAAGACAGGGTCTGTCCTTTCCCATCACTCCAATTATTCTCAATACCAAGAAAATGCTTATTGCCTTTTTTCTATTACTGATATTTTTGAGGGAGTCTTCCAATTTCTGATTAAGGAAGCACCCTAAGTCTCTCTTATCCTTGATTTTGAATTGAATCTGCTCATGGGTACCTTTTCCCTGTATATCTTGCCCCTGTCCACTACTCTATGTGTTTCCTTCTGGTGCCTTTGCTCATTTTTAATTTTGGAATCCACCTGTTATTTACCTCTACTGCCAAATGTGTTCTCTCATATCTCTCTTCCACCTAGAGTAAATGAAGCATGAAATGGACAAGAGATGCCAAGAAAACTTCCAATCTATCTCAAGGCATATACTGTTTCTGATATAGGCCCATAATGTATTGTGGGACAGTGACATAGGCACCCCAAGAAACCAACTCCCCATTTCTTCTTCTACAGCATTTAGAAAGAGAGTTTCTACGATATTCTCTTTGCAGTTTATAATAACCTCCCCCTCAACTTACTCTGAGCACATTATGCCCTTGTGGGGCAAGAGTTTGTTTTCTACACTGTCACAGCATTTTGAACTGAACTTCCAAATAAGACACACTCTCCTTACTCAGAGCTCCCAAGTCTGACGTAAGTATGTCCTCAGGAAATAGAGTATCTTTTCCCTGCTCTTATTTCCCTTGCCTTTGTTTTGTACTGAGTAGGAAAGGGAGTGGGTCAGTGCTCTTACTCTATGAGGGAGAAGGGGTGAAGATGGGAAAGTAAGGGTAAGGGTTTGCAAGGTCCATTTAGGACCTTTCCATAAAAACAAATTATTTTCACATCAGCCATTGGGGTTGTGAAATCTTGTATAATGCATAGAATCTAACTATGTCAATTTTGTGTGTTTTTTTTCCTTCACTGGTGCAGGACTTGTATTTTCATTTTTCAGTCACTGCTTCATAATCTTTACAAAAGAAAGAAAAATTCCATACATTATGTAGCACAAAGTTAAATTTTAAAGTAGGTCCTTTCCCCTTTTTTCTTTCTCGTTAGATATAGACTTAGCAGTGGTATTCTTGGATGAAGGGTATCAGTATGTGTGGCCAAGAAATGGAAATTGAGGTGATATGTATGTATGAGGAATGGCTAATAAGCTGTGATACATGATTGTAACAGAATATTATTGTGCTGTAAGAAATAACAAGCAAGATGATTTCAGGAAAACCTGAAACAGTTACTTGAACAGATACAAAGTAAAGAGAGCAGAAACAGAAAAAAATTGTGCACAGTAACAGCTACATTGTTTGATGATCAGCTCTGATGGACTTAGCTTTGTCAGCAACACAACGATCCAAAATATTTCCAAAGACTCAAGATGAATCATGGTATCCAACTCCAGAGAAAGAAATATGGAATTTGAATGCAGATCAAAGCATAATATTTTAACTATTTTTTTCTTTGTCCTAGTTTTTCCCTTTTTTTCTGATTCGTCTTTCATAATATGACTAATGTGAAAATATATTTAACATGATTGTATCGGTTACAAAGGAGGGAGGGACAAAAATTCACAATTCAACATCTTGTAAAAATGAATATTGAAAACAATCTTTACATGCAATTAGAAAACATAAAGTACTATTAAGTGAAAAATAATAATATTAACTTTTGAAGCTCATCAATTTGTCAGTACCAGAATATCTATCCATGAACAGACATTTTGAATACTGAATGGGTGATCAGAAATGGAGTTTGTTAAACAAGACACCAAGTACAGTTTTTTTCATTAAGTTTAGATGAGCTGAATCCTCACTTTCCAAGATGTCGACAGTGATGACTGCATTGAAAATGTTTTCTAAATATTTCTGTTCTGGTCGCAATGGAGTCAACATTGCTGAGGAGGCAGTAATTAATTGCTATTGAGTACAAAAAGGTCAGGTGTCAGGGTAACAAGGCACCTGAGAGGAGCAACTATAATTTCTTACTTTTAAAAATGAATTAAAATGCTTTTTAATAATTCATTTGAGCAGGGTTTCTCCATTTGCTTTAACAGTTTTGGGATTCTACTGGTTAGACAGTCCCTACAACTTTGTCATGTAGAGTCACTTCCTTTCATATGTCAAGCCTAAAAATCCTCTCAGGTTGATTAATGAAATTACTTACATCAGCTAAAGCTATAAACACTTTTTTTTAATGCCTGATTACAAGTTTTGAGTGGACAAGCCTTTAGTCTCTTTGTAAAGGCATTTTTAATCTATGCATAATGCATGTGATATGGCTGTATGCATATAATACTGAGAAGGTTAAAATGGATCCTGTATCATTTTCTCATTTATCTTATTTACAATTAATTGATTATGCCCTAAACTGAGTACTTAGTTATGGTTCTATATCTCAAACTTGTTCAGAATTCAGCTGACCTGTAAGGGGTTAAGTTTTGAAATCCAGTTCTCTTGCTAATCAGTGTGTATTTTGTCTGAAGGAATTCTGCTAACCCTGAGGGAATATGGTTTGCCATAAGGGAATTGGGCCTACTATCTTTACACTACAAACTATCCTTCAGGGCTATCTGGTTTGTTATCCAAAGAAGTCTAGACCACTATCTTCTAACATGAAAGTGGACTCAATAAACCACTTCTTAGTTATAAAGGGAAAGAAGTAGGGTTGGTGTTAGGACCCACTCCAAATTTCCAAACAATCATGTTCCCCACACTTCACCTGTGTAAAAAACTCATGTTGACCTCAAGCCCTTGATGTCACCTACCTGTACTGTTCTTTCTTCTGTACAAGCCAGGTCTATACAAGGAGAGCTGTTTTTTTATGGAATCTTGGCTGGAGACTGAGGTAGTTGTTGACCCATCTTGTTCTCAGGCTCCCAGCCTTGATTACAGAATATTCTTGCTTAGAGAAAGGTGCCTTAATTTACCTTTTTGTTAAATTTAATTCATAAAATACTCAATAATTTCTTATACTCATATGAACATGTTAAAATGTCAGAATTTACTCATTATGTATATAACATGGAAATGAGAAATAGAACAAAGCTCAGCAATTTGGAGAGCAAATTCAAAAAGGAAGAAGGTAAAATCAGCAACAAGTATTTATTATTGAGCATAGTAAACTATGTTCCAAGCACAGCACTAAGTAGTGGGATACAAAGAAAGGAAAAAATTGTACCTTTTTAAGGTGGTCACTCTTATTCAGAAAGACAACTCTAAAATAATAACTCACTATCTGTTTGTCTATATCGGTGTGTGTATGCATATGTATATATGCAGCATAAAGATTGATTAAAGAGGATGGGGAAAGTAGAAGTGGGGAGTATTTTAGGTAAGATTTAAGGAGGTCAAGGGGGCCAGGAGGCAGGGATGAGGAGAGAATTCCAGCCAGTGAAAATACACAGTAGAGAGATGGAAACTGTTGTGAAAGGAAGCAAGGAGATCAGTGTCATTGGATTGATGAGCATGTGGAAAGACTAAGGTAGAATAAGACAGGAAGGAGCCATGCTACAAAAGGATTTAAAAGCCAAATCAGAACTTATGTTTTATTCTGGATTCACCAGAACATGGGAAAAACTGTCAGATCTATGTTTCAGGAAGGTGATATAATAGCTGAGTTTCCTGTGAACTGGAGTGAAGAGAGTACTAAGGCTGGGAGAAAAACATCAAGCTAGCATAATAGTCCAGTATGAGTTGGTGAAGGCCTACCTCAGGGTGGTTGCAGTACCTTGAGGAGAGAAGGGAGAGCATAGATTTGTGAGAAAAGTGGAAAGGACAATACATAACTACCAATTCATTATGGAGTAGAGGTGGGACTGAGAGTGAGGCATTAAGAATGATAGCTAGGCACTGGAAAAGTTGCTTTCTCCTGGGACAGAAGAAAAAACACCACAAGCCATAAATAAATTCACTATACAGCTGTTCCTGGATATAGGCATCTTTTACTTTGTGCATCATGAGCTCAGTCCACTTCTTGCCTCACTGACACTTCACCTCCTGGCAGGGGAAGTTTTTTATCAGGTCTCACATTCCTTTTCCTCACTGTGTCTCTTGCACAGTAATACACAGCTGTGTCCTCAGTCTCAAGGGAAGTCATTTGTAAATATAAGATGCTGTTGCCATTATCTCTGGAGATGGTGAATCGGCCTTTCACAGAGTCTGCATAGTACTTATAACTACTACTACTACTAATGTATGCAACCCATTCCAGTCCCTTTCCTGAAGCCTGGCGGACCCAGCTCATGTCGTAGCTGCTGAAAGTAAATCCTGAACCTTTGCAGGAGAGACTCAGAGATCCCCCAGGCTGTATTACATCTCCCCCAGACTCCACCAGCTGCACATCACACTGGACACCTGCAACACAGAGACATTGCATTAAAGTCAATACTCACATGAAGTCACCACTTCACATTGTCCCTTCAATCTCCATAAAACTACCTTGGAAAATGGTCAGGAGGAAAATCCAGTTCAGCCTAAATTTCATGGTGAGTTTCCAGGTTAGTCCTCTGTGGGGAAGGACACAGAGAGCTTGACTTTGTCTCCCACAGGAGGTACAGGTACAAGTTTGGGGCTGCTTTTCATCCCAGTGGGGAGGGATCCAATTTGCATGTCTTCTTCTATTCAAAAAGAGGAAGAACACCTTCTTCCTCCCTGTGAGATGTTTCTTTCCTGAACTTCGGAAAGTTCTCTTAGAACTAGTTCCACAGGACTTAGGAATGTTGTTGACACTGAGTCTCTCAGAACTGCTGATTTTGACTCAGTGTCAATGACCCCTCCATCACTTCGATAACTCTAAACAGTTGGATGGCACGCAGTAGGCTTTTCTGCCCTCCCAATAAATTTCTAATTTATCTTAGGCCCATTTCTGATTGTCAAAGCTCCTCAAACATCTTTCATTTCCAATTACCCATACACTGCATCTGTTTTCTCAATCACTTTCTTCTCGGTGTCTCTTTTCCTGATCCTTGGCACTCTACTGCTTCCTAACTCAACTTTTTCTCTCCTTTTCCCTAGGGTTACATTTCACCGTAATTATTTACCCATAGTTTCAGTTATACTCACTCATTGCCTTAATAGGAATAGATCATATACCTTTTTAAAATCTTTTAGGTGGAGAAATTGAGTTATGAAAGTCACAATTCACAATAAGAGATTTGCAAGTCTCCTCCAACAAATACCTTGTTCCTCAGAGACACATAGCCTATTTAATGGGAGAGAGAAACTGTTATCCTCTGTGACACTGACCTAATAATCTGATTTATGGAGCAAGTATGGCTAAGATTTCTATGAGATGATCCTCAAACTTCAAGTACCATTCCCCATCACCCAGATTATGTAGCCCTGCTGCCACCTGCTGAACATTTAATTGTATGCTCAGAAACATGTTTCCATTCTCACATCCACATTCTTTTTTTAAAGAAGGGATATTTGTAATTTCAGGGCCCTTATCCTTTTAGAGTTCTATCTCTAGAATCTTTCCAAGATCTTTTATCTTTTTTTTCTCAAGGATTCAACTCAGTGGGGTAAAAAAAAATACAAAGCCAACAATCCCTCTCTTAATCACCATTATATCTATGGAGTCTTCATCATAAAGCAAGGAGTCTGAGCCATGTTTATTTGGTTTCTTTCCCCTGTTACTATTATTACATTTTGGGTGGCTCCTTCTTACTCTGTAATTTACCAAATTAAGGATAATTTATAATACAACAGAGCTGTGAGCAGAGTTCACTGACTATAGAAGAGAAAAGCATACATTGGTACTCTTCAAGTGATGACTCCATAAGTCATTGTTTCAGACATCCTGGTATAAGGGTCTTAGATTTTTAAATTTTTCCCATTTCAGACATAAAATGATCACCCTATGTGTCCTATTCACAGGTAGTAAAGGTTGCAAAACTTGGGAGTGTGTCATTCACTGTGTGTAAAGCAAATTTAAATAAAGCTTTATATTTTTAACTCCATTAGTTAACATGGACACTTTTAATCAACCTGAGAGTATTTAGGGTGCTTGCTTATATGATGAAGGCAAGTAATGCCGTCCAATCAAAGTCTACATTTGCCATTCCCCTTGCCTTCATGTAAAAAAAGCAATCTAGCCAGCTCTATTTTAAGCAGATGGAAACTCAGCTCTGCTTTCAGAAGTTGAGCTAAGGAGAAAACCAGCCCCAGGGAATCTAATTGTAAAAACTGGCCAGCAAAGATACTATTCCCAGAAAAAGTAGGATTTTAAATGTCACAAATGCCCACATTAACTACAAAAGGCATGCAAAAAAAAATGCTGTCTACATAAAGAGAAACAACTGATAAATAGATTGTAGAATGATTTTAAAATATACATGTTTGAGTCTAATAGCCATCTCTAGGGTAGGGGGGAATAAAAAAAGATATTTACATGATAACTTTTTAAGAGTTTATTTAAACTTATTTAAAGGGAATAGCAAGCTGTATATAATAAATTTTCAGTTTTATATGCAATCACTTTTCCATTATACTACATTATGGAAATGGTTGCTTTATACTATAAATTAAAAAAAATAAATTTTAAAGCTTTTTTAAAGGGCAATATGGAAATTTCACAGTAAGAGAAAGGAAGTCAGGATCTTGAAGTGGCAGAGACTTGAGTGGACTTGGCCACGTGTATTCTTTACATGGATCTTTTAAGTAGCAGACTATGCATGGGCACATTCTTCCCATTCACGCAGTGTATATTTGTGGAAAAGTGTGCCTCGTATATATACTTGAAAGTTTCACACCCTAATTGTCATCTTTGCTTCAAACTTCTTTTGTCAAGTGGTTTGAGTCCCTGGGTGTGGACTCCCAAATACCTGGAGTTCTTGACCTCTTCATCATCTAACCTGTAAACACGATGCAGGGGAGTAGACCAAGAGGGAATGCTACATTAGATATCACACCTTCTGGGGGGGAAAGATTTTTTTAGATTTCCTTCAATAAGAATATAAAGAAATTTGTATCAAAATCTGATCATGTATTCTTAGTCAGGTGATGAACAAAATGGAGAAATCTCTCTCCTCTCCGATTCTCACAACCTCTCAAATGTTTCCAAAATAACAATAATGCCTGAGAAGAAAAAGCACTTTCAGCTAACAATATCATCTAAGCACCAAGAATTCTAACAAGGCAGCAAACTGATGAAGTAACAGCAGAGAAGGTCTATTATACCTAATTTCTAACATGTTCACTCAAAATTCCCTCTCATTTGAGATCCTAAACACTTGCAGGGGTGGCACAACTTCATCCATGGCTTACAAGAGAACTAAACTCTTTCTAATCCACCCTATGCAGCAGAGGTGGAGGTATAGAAAATAAGATTTTTGCTCTCTTTGGAGTAGCTGTATGGCAGTATGCTGTGCTGCAGCAGGTGTTAGCTAGAAAAACTAAGGAACAGAAGGAACTGGAGGAGGAAGTCAGAATGTGTACGACTCCACCAGAACTGAAGGAAAAGATCCTGGCATCCACATGAAGCCATTTTGTCCTTTCAAAAGTCACACAGGCTGACACTGAGGCCACTCAAATGTGAATCCACCTACTACGGGAAGAGTCTGGGTAGATTTGAGTCTAGACATCAGAGAATCTACATCAAATTGGAAGGAGTTAGAAGGTATGGAATAGGTGAATATAATGAAAAAAGACTGACATTTCCAAAGATCTCAATAAGAAGAAAATCCAGTTAGAGACCTTGAAGAAAATCAAATGAACCAGTAAGGAAGGTATTAATACCATAAGAAAAGAGCCCCTTGAACAACTAAATAATGATGAACTTAAAGAAGAAGAAAGGACGTTCACTTTTCGGTAAGGCCTAACTGGTAATTTTTTTCCTGAAATGAAACGTTCAAGAGTGAAATACTTGGGGATCAAAGAACACATCATGGTAACTGCATAGTATTTCTCACTGCCATCATTCTTAATAACTGGACCTCCCTAGCCCTTCACTGAAGCACAGCAGACGCAGTGCATCCAGGAGTCACTGAGCGTGAATCTTTACAGGAATCTTTACAGCTTTACAAGAGAGGAGCAAGAGACACCCCTGGCTCTCTCACATCTCTGCCAAACACCACCAGGTGAACATCACACTGAATACCTACAAAGACAGACAGATTGCCTTTAAAGACAGCAGTCACGTCACACCAAAACGACAGTGTCTCTCTATATCGAAAATTCTACCTTAGAAAATGATCAGAATAAATTTCAAATCAGAAAGGCAAGGAAAGATTTGCATAAAATAATGAAGAGCAAAGTGAGCAGAACCAAGAGTTTGTACACAGTAAAAGCAATATTGTTTTAAGAACAATTTTGAGCAACTAAGTAATTTTGACTATTATGAATACACAAATTAAAAATAAAGGACATAGGAAGAAAGACACTAACTGTATCCAGAGAAGGAACTGATGAATAGAAGTATGTATAGAATAATTTTACATATATGCATCTATATAGATATTTGCATCTAATGGTAGCCATCCATTTCTAGGGGTTGGGAGGTGGGGGGGAAAGAAATTTACATGATAATATTGTTGTATATTTGGAAGGAATGGCAAGTTGTACATGGTAGCTTTGCAGGGTCATGTCCAATAATCTTTTTTATGGTACTGTGTTATAGAAATGTTTATTTAGTTCTATGAATTAAAAATAAAATATTTTTTTAATCCAATTCAGCAGGTAGCTAGGCAGTGTAATGGACAAAGCACAGTTCAAATCCGTCCTCAGACACTTGACATTTAACTTGCTATGTGACCCTGGGCAAGTCACTTAACCCTGACTGTCTCATCAAAAAAAATTCATTTCAGCCCAAATCCCAGTGTGGAGGCTCCACAGGGTCAGTCTTCAGGGTAAAGGAGAAGCCACACAGACTGAAGCTCCTCTCCTGGAGCTAGAGATTCTGTGCTGGTTTTCATACCAAGGGAGAAAGAAGTCTGCATGTTGTTCTCCCTCCAACAAGAGAAAGAACAGCTGCCACATCCTTGGGGTTAGTTTTCTTGCTGAAATGCAAAGAGAAAGATCCTCCAGAACTAGTTCTAAAGCCCTGGAGAACATTTTATGACACTAAGAATATACAATATTAGCTTATATCACTTTGTGCGCTGTCTTGGACAGAGAGATGGAGAAGGAAGGGGAGAAAAATTTCAAACTCAAAAGCTTGTGGAAGTGATTGTTGATCATTCAAAATGAAATAATAATTTAAAAAAGAAAATAATACTATACAATATTGATGATGAGAATCACAGTGTCTGTCCTTCCTGCCAAGATACAAGGAGACATCTTGTTTTCCAGAACTAAGGCCCAGAAAGCAGGCTGTGCCCTGACCTTCCTTTGAAAATATTCCTTTTCTGCTCACCCTAGGGATGATCTCACACATAGCAAAATCCCAGAATTGTTACACACCAGCATGAGGTGGTCCCTGAGTATGGACAAGCACCTTTAGTAACCATGTTTCAGTCATGAAGCCCTGCTTTGAATCAACCTTGTCACATTATTGCTTTCACCCTTCCTTTTCAATTTTACAGCTTGCTACTTAGCCATTGGTATAAATATTGAGATCTCCCCAC